TGCAAGGTCAGCTGCCCCCAATCCATTACTTTCAGCCAAGGTCTAGACCCTTGGCTGGTCCTGACTAGCTTCTTACCCTCTCCTTCCCGTCATATCCCCCACTGGCACCCAATTCCCCGAAGCCCCAGGCTGTGCTGGCCCCTCTGTCCACTGACTGCTGCCCACTCTCCACTTCTTCAACCCCTGCCCACCTCCCCTGGCCCCCAGGCAGAACTAAGTTCCCTCAGACCTGACGAGGCTGCTGGCTGAGCCCCTAGCACTGCCCAGGCCCACACTCCCACCCCGCAGAGCACACCAGGCCCCACCCACTGTGCCAGGCCGGGCCCTGCACACAGATTTGGGTACCATGGTCCCAATCCAGCCGACCTGCACATTGGGCAAGGAAGTCCCTCCTTTCTTTAGAACTCGATTTCCACGCCTGAACAAAGGGGTGAGCTATGGGATAGCTGAGAGTCTTTATAGCAACCTTTAAATACTGAGGGGCACTGCAGGAGGGGGCATGATTTGAACTGCAGACTGCCAGAATGCCAGTTCCAGAACTACTCCTACAGGCCAGTGATACTGGGCATGTTATGTGCCATCTGCACATGGGAGTAGCTAGTACCTATCCCGCAGGGCTCAAGGGATTAAACGAGGTGCTGCCAGGGTGACTGTGTGTCTTGGATTGCTTGGGAAGGTCCCAGTTTATACCTGCTGCCTCATCACACTTAGTAGTTTCCTCCCTCCAGACCGATTTTTCTCAGCTCGTTATGATATGGTTATTCTATGGAAACTCCTCTGTCCCTTATTTAGTAGTTAATCCCCTTTCTAGACTGAAGCTTCCCAGGGGACCACACCTGCTTTTGTTTGCACTGGGATCCCGGGACCAGCCGGGCACCTGGCACATGAACGAATGAAACAGTGACCTGTAGTCGCACAGCTGGTCGGACGCAGGCCTGTCCGAGCTCCTCTCCTCCCTTAATCAGTTCTGCTCAGACTGAAAGGATTCTTCATAGGGAGGAGAGGCAGAAGTTCATTCAGAACTTTTGGAAGCACAGATATGACATCAATTTAAGGAAAAAGCAGGACCAGGAAGGGGAGAGAGCTTGGAAGTACTGGCTCCTCGGCGGTCCGTTTACTCCGGAGAGGCGCTCCAGGCTCTTGACCAGATGGAGTGGAGGAGGGACGCCAGGGTTTGCTGGGTCCGGGAGGTGAGTGTGGGCTGTGATGGGGTAGAACCCACGCCCAGAGCGCCGACAGGGAGGCGGGCCACAGATCCCAACATCTCGGGGTCCTGTCCTGCGTGGTGCTGGGACAGAGGAACAGCCTGAGTTCCAAAGACCTGACAAGCTGCCTAAAGAGTCGCCACCCTGAGGGCAGGCCCTGTACTCGGCCGCTTCAGAGCACCACCTCTAACAGGTCCTCGGGAGGAATTACTGGTCCCAATTTACTGATGAGGAGACCCAGAGAGGCAGGTGTGACTGTGTAGAGGCCACACGCAGATGGCGAATGGCTGAGAACCCAAAACTCCTGACCCCAGCCTGGCCAGATGCACATGCCTTGGGCTAAGGTTCATGCTGGTGCCTGGGAAGCGAGGTGACGCTGAAGGGCTAAGCTCCATGGCCTTGTTTCTCAGCCAGGAGCTCAGACTGACCCTGGCTGACCTCACTCATGCATCCGGTCCCCTCTAATCGAAACCAGCCTTTCTGCAGTTCCCCCTGCAAAGAGGCTCCGAAGAGCTGACAGGCATCAGGGAGAGTCAGGTGACTAAGGAGTCTGATTTGTCAAACGGCTCCAGACTCACCGGTCCTCTCAGGAGCCACAGGGATCAGAGGCCACTTAGGTCCAAACAAACTAGGTCTAAGCACCCTGGCCACACTCTGATTTTGAGCTCTAATAATCATCAGTTGACACACAGTTGTGGGGGGCAGTTGCACACTGACGGGGGCTCAGGAGGGAGGCAGCCTGCCCTGTCACCCAGGCCCTGCCTCCGCTCACCGACGTTAAGGAGCGGTCGGCCCACATTCCGTGCAGTTGGCCTGTCCTTTCAGACCTTCCACACAGCCTTTGGAACCCTGGAAATGCTGCCACTTGCCCTCTGGGAGATAGCCAAGAAGTTGTCTGCTGTTTTTTAGATTGATTCATTGCCCAGATTTAAAAATTGGGAGATTTACACAGAAATCCTCATTAGAGAAGGGATTACTGTAACCAACATGCTGGTTAACATGGATTGGGGCTGAGACCCACATCTGCATTCTGGCTGAATTGTGACTCCTGGCTTCTTTTAAAAACCTGGCCCTGGCTGCCCAGGGCCTTTGGGTGGGGTGAGGCACTGGGCTCAGGCTCCACTGCCCGGCGATTTGAGGCCCAGCCCCCGAAGCACCCGAGTTCCGCCGGGAGCCCCCCGTGCCCGGCTGCAGCAACCTCCCGCCTCTGCGGACCCCGTTTCCCCTGGCTGCCCTCTGGGTGAAATTTCAGCTCCTGCCCAAGCTCCACCAGCCTCGTGGGCTCTGGCTGCTGCCAGGCTCCCTTCATCCGGGGCTCCTCTCCCCTTGGCTTGCTGTGCTCCACTATCCCGCCCATCAGTCTGCTCGTCACAGAAGCCGGGTCCATGCCTGCCTTGGGGCCTTTGCACGCGCCCCTCCTGGCACATTCCCCCAGCTCCTCCCATGGCTGCTCTTGCTCATGATTCGGTTTCAGCTCACACGTGCCTTCCTCAAAGAGGCCTTCAGTGCCTGCCTGTTTCTGTCTACACCTCCACCCTATTTCTTTCCTGACCAGCCTCATCTCCTCAGAGCTAGGAGAATCTACACCTGGGCTGCAATCCTGACTCTATCCCCTCCCTGTAGTGGGACTGTGGACGGGTTCCCCGACTTGACTGGGCTGTGGCTTCCTCACCTGTCACAGGCGGGGGACATCCCCACCTCACCAGGCTACTGTGAGGGCAGGACTCAGAGTCGGGGCATGGCCCTACCACAGAGGCTGTCGCTGCTCCCCACATCATGGTGTGCCCCAACCCCACACCTCCGGCTGATGCTGAAGTTTGCTTTGTAACATCCTGCAGTACAACGAATGCCTACAGGCCAAACCAGGACCTGGGGACGGACAGGCCACCTCTCACGGCATTGCTTTCCCTTTCCTGCACACCCTCCTTTCAGGCAGGGGCCTCACTACTTGACCTGGAGCCTGGCTGGTGGGAAAGGCATCAGAGGAACAGAGAACACACAACCTGGTGGCCCTGCCTCGGGGACTTCACGCCTGCTCCGAGCAGTGGCCCCGTGAAGCCCTCCTCGATGGAAGCAGGACTCCCCTCTTACCACCCACACTCATGGTCTTCCCCACGCCCCATGAATCTGCTTCTCTTAAAGCTGACTTGAGTGCCCATCTTGGGGGCCCACCCCCACGGCCCCACAGCTGGGATGTCTGACAGGGTGCAAGCCAGGTGGCCACCTGGCCGCCCGAGGAGTCGACGAGGCTGCAGCAGGCTCCTGGCAGCCACGGACCTCGGCCTTCCCGTCCTCCAGCGGACATGGCGGGGCTGGGCATTACCAGGCATCTTGTCTCTGAGAAATGGCCTCAACTAGCACTGAGAATTCAGAGGTATCGGGTAAAGCAGCTCTGCTTCACTACCCTCGGTCCTGTGCTTTTAACTGGTTTCTGCTTTTCTTTCTCAGGAAGTGCTTTCAAATAAAGAGCATGCCCTGGGGACCCCCACTCCTGTATCGCCCCCGGCCCCTGCAGCTTTAGCGGACGCCAAGTGCTCTACACTCAGGAGCTTGTCCCATCCTGCACCACGGGGAGGACAAAGGAGCTGAGGCTCAGGGCGGAGAAGCTGCCTTAGGAAGGACTCCTGGCCGCGGGGCGGAGGAGCTGTGCTCACGGGAAAGGCCTCCTGGCTGCGGGGCGGAGGGGCTGTGCTCACGGGAAGGACTCCTGGCCGCGGGGCGGAGGGGCTGTGCTCACGGGAAGGACTCCTGGCTGCGGGGCGGAGGGGCTGTGCTCACAGCCAGTCTGGCTGACCCAGAGTCTAGCACTGCCCTTTCGTCCCCCACGTTTCTCGGTGTGAGCCACGCTCTCTGGGCTCCTGCTGGAGCCACGAGAGGTGAGGCCCTTACAGGAGGGCTGTCCGGCGATGGGGCAGGGGTCAGGTTGGGCCCGGGGACTGTCCTGTACTCCCTCTGCATCCCCTCCCTTGAGGGGGCGCTGGCTCTTGCCTCTGCCCTCAGCCCACCTCAAGACCCTGATGCTCCCCATTATTCTAGGCAAAATACGCCACCAAGCCTTTGCAAACGCGGCTCCCTGTGCCTGGAGGTCCCCTTCTCTAAACATCTGGGTCCTGGCTCCTGGCCAGCTGTCCCCTCTCACAGCCCTGCTGCTTTGGGCCCAAACTCTGATGACCACTGCTCTGACACGAAGGACCTTCATCCGCTGGGCCAGGCAGAGGGCCAGGCTCTGTCCCAGTCTGGGGCTCTCACCACTCAGGCTGGTCAGAGTCTTCCCCTGTCCTCTGCACTGGCACCCCACCCCACCTGGCCCCCAGAGGGCAGCAGGATCGACCACGCAGAGAGAAACTGGCATTCAGCCTGGTCAGGCCTTGAGCCCCCTCTGTGGAAGGGGACATGGAACACGGGGCCCCACTCTTCTTGGCCACAGTCAGCCTCCAGCCCACAAAGGCAAACAGCTTCTCTGGTCACACCTGCCTATTTGTGGCCCCACCTTGCCACCACATAAAAATATCAGGAACACCAACAGGCCTGGTGCAATGGGTGGAGGGAACAAGCTGGGAGGAGCGCCTGCAGAGACACCATCATAAGCACAAAACAGCCATTCAGGCCGCCACCAAAATTGCTGGCCTTGACCTGGGACCCAGGTGTGGAGGAGGGGCTTCCCAGGGCCGCCTGCTGCTGCGGTGGAGGCGGGTGGGGGGAGTGCTGCCCAGCGGTCACTGCAGTGGGACTACTGCGGGAAGGGTGCCTGCCCAGGAGGGGCGCCTGCCTGGGAGGGGCAGGGGCAGCACTCACCGTTGGAGCGGTGGATGCAGGTGTGCTGGTTGTCACTGAGGAAAAAGCCAGCGTGGCACTGGCACTCGTAGCTGCCCATGGCATTGACGCAGATCTGCTGGCAGCCACCGTTGTTGTCCTGACACTCGTCCACATCTGAGAGAAGAGAGAAAGCAGGGGAGAGGGAAAATCACACCTGGAGCCGGAGTAAGGTGCGCTCAGCTGGTGGGACATGGGTACAGTTCCCCCAGGTTGTGAGGAAGGGGCCACGGCAGTACTCCATGGCGGTACTCACGCCGCAAATAAGCTCCGTGTGGCCCTTGACAACAAACAGTACCCCGTAGAGTTATTCCACAGAGGCAGTTACACGGGCCGTAATGCCAGCTGACTTTCCTGTGTGCCAGGCTCTGTCCTAAGAACCTGTCCTGTATTAGCTCCTTAAATCCTCATAACAACCCTCAGTCAGATCCAGGTATCAGCCCATTTTGTAGATGAGGTCACTGAGGCACAGAGTGGCAAAGTCACCTGTCCAGGGTCCACAGACAGGATTCAAGGCTGACTCCAGACCTGGGCTCTGGCTGACATCGCTGGACTTACCCTCTCTAGGAAGACTGTGCGACCTGCACTGCCTACCCCAACACATGGCGCCTCTCCCAAATCCCGTGGCCCTTCCTTCTTCAATCACACCCCAGACTTAACAGCCAGTGAGTGGCACAAGACCCCACCACAGGAAGAGGCTGGGGACAGGGCAGCCTGCTTTCTGCCTTGCAAAGTGATTTCAAAGGCCCAGAGAATGGGGCAGTTTTTAAAAGGCTCTGACCTCTGGCTGCTAAGACTGCCGCGGAAGGCTGCCAAATAGTCTCTCCCCTTCTGCGGGAGAGACAGACCTCAGGGCTGAAACTCGTGTGGACCGGAGGCTGCTGGCGCGAAGGCTGTTGGCTGAAAGGAGTCTTCACGGGGTTCTGGTCTTACACAGAGCAGCATGTTTCAATTACCAGAGTCATAACCCCTACCTTACCAGTTTGTTTAATGAAAGAAGGGCTTTTTAAGCCTCAATGTGCCAGGTCTGTATTGTCATTTTAACAGGCAATAGACAAAATGACAAAGGCAAGGTGAGTTACTGGCAGATTCCAGCCGACCCCTTGACCCTCAAAACACACACACGTTCCCTTTGGCACCGGGCTTCCATACAGTTCCTTTTACCGCAGCCATTCTTTGAGAACTGCAACCAAAAGGGTGTGAAACGGTAAAGGCTCAGGCAGCATGGTCTGCACTGACCCGGGAGGGGACGCAGCTCTGGCAGGCAGCGCTGGGCACAGCAGGCCACTTCACTGCCCAGGAGACCACGCGGGGTGGAAGGCAGGCCTTTACTCAGCAGGCCCAAATGTCAGCCATGAGGCAGCCAGCAGGGAAGCAGAGCTCTGAACTCTAAAGCCACCAGCAGTGACAGCTATAACGGTAAGGTGGCTCTTGCTGAGAGGAGGCTACGGCGGGGGGAGGCTGGGAAGGATAGTGAGGGGTTATTCTGAGACCCTTTCTCACTTGGCGAAGTCTCACTGATGGCTGCCGAAAGGCCCGGTGCCAGGGGACACCTGCACTAAGCCACGCCTGGGGCCTGCTCCCTATTAATAACAACACAAGCCACTGTTCCCCAAGTGCTCTTTTTGTGTCAGGCATGGGGCCTCACAAATACCCAGTGATCCTTGCAGCAACCCTGAGTGACAGGTTGTGTTGCAGACTCCATTTTGCACATGAAGACACTGAGGCACAGAGAGCTGAAATAACTTGAGCAAAGTCACACGGCTACTCAGAGCCACAGCGGGGCTCGAACCCACTGTCCACGTCTGGGCACATGCCGTTGGCCTCCCACTGAGCTGCCCATGTCAGAAATGGCCTTCAGACTAATGCTACGTAGAACCAGCTACTCTTCACATAGGCCTGGGCTGGGTGTCACCCTGGACACACGTTTGTGGACCCCAGATGCAAACGCGAAGCCAGAGCCAGCCTGCCCTATAACCTCAGGAATGCCCTGGCACCTGGGGCTCGTCCTGTCTCTGTCCCAAAGCTCCCGGTGAGGCTCTATGCTCTCGGGCTGCCACACAGAACAGTGAGGTCTGAACCCTGGTAGCTGCTCCTGGGACTCTGTCCAGACGCCCTCCAGGTCACATTTCCTTGCTTCTCAGATTCTTGCTCTGTCCCGCAGCTTCCCCAGTTCTGGTAAAGGTCCCACTGGTAAAACCAACAAAACAGATATGAGCCCTTAGATGCTGAGTCCATGGTGTGGAAATGTTACTTCCACCCTGCTATGAATGAGCTCCCTGGTGCCATCCATCTGGCCTGGCCCACACCCTCGCCTCCCTGGAAGTGAGGGACCAAAGAGCCATTGACGTAGCACATCTACAAACCCTCAGAGAACTGGCAGAGTGGCTGGGCCTTGGGACAGGGCTGTTTACACTAGCAGGGAGCAATGACTCTGAACACCGGTGAATAATTTGAAACAAATGCAAGGCCATGTAAACATTTCTTTTCCCTATTATCAAGTGATAAAGCGCTAAGATTAAGCAAGAGCGGAGAGGGGGCTGCCCCCCCTGCACCCTTTTACCACTCTGGTCCAAACACAGGCCTCCCCAGTTTGAGCAGGAAATCAGTCTCAGAATCCCTTTGGGTAGCCCGCAGTCATTGCCAACTTCTCGAGGGGCCTCAGGCCCACCTCACACCCCTCACACCCCTGTGTCCCCAGCACTCCAAATGGACCCACAGTGAGATCTGAAGAGTGACCGAACATCTGGGGCATTTGGGTCTGTAAGGTGAGATGGCTGCCCACCAGCCTAGGATAGACTGTGTCCACCTGGAGGCCCTGCTAGGCCCAGCTCAGCACTATGGGAAGTTCATAGCCTCTTGGCCTTCCTGAGGGGGGCCAGCTCAGCACACAGCATTCTTTGTCCCCCCAGGGCTTGGCATTCTGTTATGAGAGATGCCCATGGCAAGGAGAGGGCCTACACGTAGCCTGTGCAGGAGGAACTGCAGCTTGCGTCCTCCAGGAAGCCCTCCTGGACTGCTTGAGGTACACACAGTCTTCTTTCCTCTCTCCTGTGGAATTGACTGCCCCCTGCCCTGGTAGAGACCCTGTCTGGGAACCCCACCCGACCACCCTACCCCCAGAGATGAGCAAGGTTGGCTGGGCAGGGCTGGCAGCCTTACTATCATAACTAACAGCACACACTGCTGGCCAGGCCCAGCTTGGGCACTGAGGCGCTAGCTTAATCCGCACAATCCTGTGTGGACCTGTTTGTTTGTTTTTTTAATCATCCAGATTCTCAGATGAGAAAACAGGCCCAGAGAGGGGAAGAGACTTGCCCAAGACTAAAAAAGTGGGAAGGGGGATTTGAAGCCAGTGAGCCTGGAGCCAGCGTCCTTATTCTGCTCTTCCGTGATCTGGCTTCTCTGAATGAGGGCGCGTGGAGCATAGTCATGGCAGTGAGTACATTCTCTGGGTGTTTATGCTTATCAGCCTCCCCCGGCCTCACACACTCATGTCTGCAAAACCCAGTGCAAAAGCCCCCTCATCTCTGAAGTCTTCCTGGTGCCAAGCAGAATTCGAGTGCCCCCAGCTCTCAGACCAGGGCTACCTTTGTTCACGACTTCCTTCCTCTGCCCGGGACTTTGGGCGTGGTCATCTTGTCTCTGCTTTGGCCCAAGGACAGACCTGCATCTCCTTTATGTCCCTGCACCCAGCAGAGGGTCAGGCTGAGTGGGTGCTCAGGTGGCGGCAGGATGACCTGGCAGGTGGGTGCGTGCTCACGACAGTGACAAGGGGCTCCCACCACACAGGGCCGGCGGCCGGGCTGTCCTGGCCCCTCTGGGCACACAGAGGGGCTCACGTGGGGCTCTCCACAGACTTCCACCTCTCCAGGGGCCCCACCTACTTCTGCTGCTCTCTGAATATTCCCTCTCACCCACCTCCGCCCTCATGTGCACACATGAACCTCCTCTGGGACACCCTCTGCCTCCTTGTTCAGACAGAAATTCTTGCCTTGAAATCCACCTGAAACATTTTTGTTCATTCACTGCCTCTACAGACACTGAGCACCTACTATGTGCCACACTTCCCATGAGCTGCCAGGGCTCCCAAAGTGAACATCACTGGTCAGGTCTGTGTTCCTTGAGCTGCTGGCCTATTGGGCCTGAGCACAGAGGTGGGGGGTTGGGTGGAGAAGGTGATGTGGGAGCTGGGCTGAGGGGAATGGGGAGATGTGTGGCCTGAGGTTGGAGCAGGAGAAGAGGTGTTCTGGACGCAGAGGGGCTCTGTGGGCTCTGTGGCCAGCACACCCTAAGAGGGCCCACTGGCCTCTCACAAGCCGTGGCGCCGTCTGTCCAGGCTGTTGTCTTTCCCTCACCCCGCGGCCCATCTGTCTCGCCTCCACTGTCAGGTGACAGCCCTGGTGTGCGCCTTGACCTCTCCTGACAGGTAGTCTGCTTCCTGGATCTCCCGGCCTCCGGCCTCTCCCTCTCAATCCCAGCAGCCACTGCAGCCACTCTAGTCAGAACAGGACACAGCACCTTGGCACCAAAGATCAAGTCCACACACGGTCTCCGGGCCAGGTCCCCCCTCCTCACACTGCAGCGCCCGGCACGAGCACGTCTAGACGCTGGGCCTGGGGGGGACAGTCCTCAGCTGTGCCCGTCTCTGCTCGGTGCACCTACCGCCGGGGCACAGGCAGCCCCTGCCAGCAGCTGAAGGGTCGTGTCTGGGGCAGGCCCGTGTGCTCGCTGCGACGCATACGGTTCTGCTCCAGCCCGAAGTGCCCGCCATGCTGACACCAGCGGGCAGGAGGCTGACCTGCTCTGGAGAGGCCTCTGCAGGAAGGACTGTGGTTTGCCCCTGAGGTTCACTTTTTGGCCAAGGTGCTGGTGTTTGTTTTTACTAATAGCTGGCTGTTTGTCCCATTTTGGACCAAGAATCCAGGTTTCTAGTTATTTATAATAACTAAAAATTACTTCTGGATCCAGCTTTGGCTTTTTTGTTTCCCATGAATATTTCACAATTTGAAACAGACACTCTTGTGTTCTACCCGGACCCCACCCATGTTTCCCGGCTGCCAAGAGCCTACTGTGTGTTAGGCCCTGTGCCCAACCTCAGCATCCCAGCTCCCACT